TTGGATGTTTGAAAATGGATAGATGTTGTGGCAGTTAGTGCTGCTAACAGAACTGGATCCCGGTTCCAGCCCAAGCATTTTCTTCGAGGAATCTACATGTTCTCCTCTTGCCAGTGAGGGTTTTCTCAAGGTTTCTCCCAACATTAAATGGAATTTCTTTACTTTGCAATGGGACCTTAGATGTGCATCAAATCTAAAGAAAGATTGTTCAATAATCCTACTGCAGACAAAAATTAGAATGTAGTGGAATCAGCAATACACCAAAGAACTTTGTCCTTTATTTTCAAAAGACAGTGTCTTTCAAATATTCATTAGGGTTTGATCACATTTGAAGCTTATTCCACATCACTTTGAAAATATAATTAAGAAAGAAATGAATATGTGATTTTAATTGTGTTTATTGTGTATTCTCTAACTTACAAAAAGACAAGAACTAGAGCACAGGTTCAGGATTTAAAAGGAAGCTGAAGAAGGTGCATGTCTTTTAAGTATCAGATATGGTACAATTGCAACTTGGGAAGAATAACAACTATGGGATTCTTAGTGATGAATGCTCACTCTGTTTTTTTTCATTGTTATTATTTAAAGTTATGTTTGAGAGCATCCAGCTGAAATGTAGCTCACCTGCCAGTTGCTAGGACATATGCAGTGGTAAGAATCCAGTAGGCTCAGGCAGGTTCCAGTGTTCTGACAAGGATTGCTGCTGCAGGTCTTTCTCTGTATTGTCTATTAAAGTGAAGAGTCTGCATTGTAGTTTACTATTGCTGCACAAATATATGTCTAACATTCTGCATGGATGAACTAATGACCAGACAGACAAGATAATCAGAGACTAATTGTTAACCTGTACATGCTAGAAAAACATTTTAAGCAGATTTATTCAAGAAGTTTTAGAAGCAGTATACATTTAAAATGATATGATCACTTTGCAAAATATAAAATTATGTACTAAGAATCACATAAAACTAGTTATAACTGCAAAATATTTTTTGTAACATGTCATCCACATTTAATGTAATAGACATGACCTAATTTAATTTAATTTATGCTGATTGACATCAGCTTGGTTGATCAACAGGGAATCTACAGTTCATTAATGCACAGGTTAATAACTTAAGTGGCCATTGCTAGAAGCAATCCAGGGTGACATTTGTTTTACACTAAGTTGTGAGATTGTGCATCATTCCCCTCATAGACCCTGGACAAGCATTTGTGAGTTCACAGCTCTCTGAGCCCTCATTCAGCTCATTCTGTAACAGATCAATAGAGCTCAATTTTAATGAGTTTCTTTTGATGTTCAGCACATTATTATAAGTAACTGTCCACATGTATTTTCTCAAAATGACAATAAAAATACTATATTACCTGTTCTATATTTTGAACCTTTCCTTCCAATGTCGTCATCTGGAATTAACGTTGAGGACATTAATGAATTAAGTACAGATTAAAGTGTTTCTTCATATAAACTGTTCATCATATACAAAAATTTACACAAAAACAGATACACCGATCCCATTTCTTTTGCAGAAGCACTTTCTCTTTGATATCCTTAAGGAATCCTGTAACCAACTTCCAAAAGGGACCATTATGTTGTACTAGAAAGGTATTGTCTACTTTAGTTAGTGTCAAAAATCCATTCTGTCTGATGTCAGGAGTTTCACTATACGTATTACAAAACTCTCTTAAAGACATACATACTGTAGTGTATGAAACTTCATTTCAAAAATAAATGGGCATCTAACATAAATAGACGGATCATAGGAGACATTCACAATTTAAAAAGTTAGCAATTGTTTTAATTTTATGTTAAATCTTGACATTTGTTGGAAAAAACTTCAAGTAGTGTTTCTGTCCATAGGGCTTTATTCCAGCTTCACATACCCTTGTACGCAACTGGTTGATCTGGTCTGTGACATTCTGAGATGTTCCTCCTCCATTTGCCTTAATAAATGTAATGTCGTCTTTGTTTTTCTTTATCTGTAATTTAGATGATAGTTCCATGTTTCCAGTTTAAAGAAAGAGAAATTGAACATGTTTATCCTTCACTTTCTTTTGGCATGCATGTATGTTTCAGCTTAAATAATATCTTCTTTTCGAGTTGGTATAAACTAATTGAAACACATTGTTAAGAACTTCATACTTCCTTAACATTAATCTTGTTAATCATGCCATTAACCAAGGCAAATGTAAGTTTATATAGTGAAAATGGAAACTATAGAATAATCAATACAACAATTGACGCACAAGATATTGGATTAAACAAAAAATTAGCATTCATGTGAAAACTAAGAATTAAAATATAAAAATGCTGCTATAGGAGAAATTAAGAGTTACAGAATGAACCCATAACTGAACGTGGAAAAAAATCTGTTATGTTACAGCACTTATTCTCAGTTTACCTGATCTATAAGTTGACTCAGGTTTTCTTCTCCAATTTTTACACTTCCTTGGTTACCTGGCTGAAATATGATGTATTTATAATCTCCAGTTTTAAATATTAAGTTTCCTTCCGATGATGTCATGCGAGGCCTTTTAAACACAGAAATACAGTAAATAATACATTCCACACCTGACAAAGGCTCCACAGCCAAAATATTGTGTCTCTTTTCTTTTCAGCATGGAATGAACCCTTTACCTTTCCTTTAGAAATATCTGGTAGGATTTATAGTTTTGTCTTTAACCATAAATGTAATACAAAACAGAACAATCTCTGAAGCAGGTACTGGAAAGTTAAGAAAATATAAAAAAAACTACCGTCATGTTACCATCTCTATAGAAACGCAGTGGTACTCACTGATCTTTGGATATGTCTCTCTTTTGCTTACTGCCCCCATACTGTTCAGAACTGCATTTTAGTCCTGCAATGATGAGGAAGATGACCAGCAGCCAGGGGAGCTGACCAGCACAAGCCATGTGTGCTGACACTGACAACCTGCTCCTACTGTCTCACAAGGAGCAAGAGTTAAAAATTTATACCACA